TTTCCTAATTTTTCTACCAAGAGTGTGTGTTGTTTTTACACTGAGAAAATAAACCCCATAACATTTAAAAAGGAAAATGATGTCTACTTAAACTGCCTTCTTAGGAAGTCCTTTTTGGTGGGGAAGGGGGGTAATTAGGTTTATTATTTTTTTAATTAATTATTTTTCAGTGCAGGTACTGGGGATTGAACTCATGTGCCAAGCACATGCTCTAGACCACTGAGCTATACCCTCCCCCTCTTAGGAAGTCCTTTTTGATGCCCCACTTTCCACTAATCTTTGCTCTCACAGTTACCAACTTATTTTTTTTTAAAGGAGCTCACCTATTTACTGATAGTAGGTATAGCTCTGCATGTTGAATGCTCCTGCCTACAAGATTTTAGTTTCTCAAGGACCAGGCCTGGGCATCTACACCGTTCCTGTTCCCCTGGCTGGCTCAGCCAACCTCAGGCTGCCCCACCAGGTCCTGGAGAGCATCTTCGGCAGATGGAGAGTCCCTTGGCCCCATGCCCCTCCCTCCCTGCACTCTCACAGGCACCCCACCTGGGATGAGGGAGAAGGGAAGGCAGCAGGCCCAGGCTCGGGTAAGCATAGTCACAGGAACCCATGTTGCGAGGGCTTCAAGTGCTCTACACCGATTATTAGACTCTCAAAGTTGTATGAAGTTTAAATCAGAAGCCCAAATGCTTATGTGTCTAATCAGCAAGCACAATAAACAAAATAATCAAATGACAGGAACAGACTAAACTCAGAGCCTCTTCCCATGAATGGTGTTTATCGGGACAGCATTTTTGGTGAAGTGAATCAGCTCATTTATTTGTAAAGATTCAAGGCATTGTCTTGGGAGTCTGAAAGGATAATGAACATAGGAAACTCTCAAATGTTGGTGTTATCATGAAAAAGCCTTTCACGGACAGGAGAGAGAATAGCACAAAATTTGTTTCCTCCCCTTAAGCCATAGACCCTTCTCCCTGCCATGCTTTCCTGCAGATAAGGTAAGCCTCTAGAAGAGAGAATGAGAATAGAAAGAGTAAAGGAGAAATTGGAGAGCGGTTCTGGGAGCTTGAGAAGAAGGTGGAACCCCAAGGGACAGTGGGCACTTCGAACTTGACAATGAGTCATAGAGTGACACGTGGGTGTGCGTGTCAGTTTCCTTTCTTTGCCCCCAGATCTTGGCATAATCTTGACTTTCATCTCCACATTCTGCTTGTAACATCTATATTCCAAAGAGGCATGACCACTTTTAAAATCTTTAGAACCCCTAGCATGCTTGCTTTTGGAAAGCAAACTCATTAGAATGCATCTACATCCTAAATTAAATATAATTTTTTTGTAAATATTTTTGACAGGTATTATGTTGAACCATACAGAATTGCCATTTTTTTGTTTTCATATTCTTTTTCATTAACGGTTATTATAAGATATTGAATATATTTCTTGTGCTATCCAGAAGAAATTTGTTTTTTAAATCTATTTTTATACATAGTGGCTAACACTTGCAAATCTCAAACT